AGCAAGATGAGCAGCACAACTGTATTAAATGCAGGTCGACAGAAATGGGTTTTCTATTGCTGATATCGATATGTAGAGGTCACGATCAGCCAATGGCCGATATATGCTAATGGGATTTGGGACCCATTTTCACGACCGATATCTAGAAATGTTCTAACTAATTAGCAAACTAAAACAACAGCTGATACACCACATCTCTGAGGCCTAGTCCACACGTAGCTGGGTTTTTAAAAAAATGAATATCCGCCCCTCCAAAAACTTGCATCCACACCACCTAGTTTAAAAAAAACTCTGTCCACACGTACCCGGATAAATACGTTGTTAAGGACATGCCAGACCTGTAGGCGGCAGTACTTCCCTCGTTCTTAACCTCGTCCTTCGTCTGTGGTCTTCCACAAGGAGCAGTAATTCCGCTTGCAAAAACAAACAAGCAAAAAGCGCTTGGACAATTGATAAAGCAAGCGCAGCCCTGAGGGCTTCCATGCTGTCGGCTAGTGTAAACACAGGTCGCACACGTGATGTCAGCATTTTTTTGTCGCGGAAAGTGACATTGCGGACCTTAAAACTCCGGTTTTGTCTGTCCACACGCAGACACCCAAAACGGAGAAAACGCAGATCTTCACTTTGGCCGGAGTTTTTAAAAAGATCCGTTTTTGTGTGGATGACAGGCCAAAACGTAGAAAAATATCTACGTTTTGGCAGAACCCTGGCTACGTGTGGACAGGGCCTGAACTTGAATCAGTTTGATATACTAAACAACTTTTTGTGTTGGACTCATCTTTGTTCATCATCTAAAATCTTCTCCTGATTGGTAGCTGGCAACAGCTGCTCAGAGTGGACTGGTTTGGTTTGATACACAGACTGAAGTACCCGCATTTGACCACAAGATGTCACTCTTACTATATGCACCTTTAAAGTTCACACACCAAGTATTAAATATACGTGTAAATAAGAGGAAATATCAATTTACAATGATTTTTATGGAATTTATTAAGCCTCTGATTGCCAGGAATGTAAATATATGTTTGAATACATTTCTGCAGCAGCACCGGGCTGTCTGCAGACGTGCCTGACTTTAAATCGTCTCTACAAAAGAGGTTTATCTGTTGATGCCGCTATTAAAAAATGGTAAACAACAGCCCAATACATCAGTCTATCCTTAGTGACCTTAAAGGTTGGATATGGAACACGAACAGCAAAGTGACATCTAGTGTTTGCGGGTTGTAGTTGCAACAATAGAACAAGGTTTCCAGCCGTCGAGATACCAGGGTCGCTGTCGATTCAAAAACGTAGAAACAATTTTGGGTACGTTTTGCAAAATGGTTCATATTATGTGCAAAATGGAAGATATAAATGTAAAAACCATAGAATCTTTTTCTTTTCTAAAATATTTTGCTGATTTTCTCTGAATAAGATTCCCGGTTTTGGTCATGCTGCATGTTTATCTGCAGAGCTCCTAACTGTGACTTAGAACATTTATTCAGTGTAGTTTAAGGGGAGGCTTGATGAATTACCATTATTGAGCACCTTCATGAATTATCTTATGACATCACCACAGCCTACCCCTCTGCTCAGGTTAAAGGGGGATTATAGTCGTTCACAAATCAAATCCTGAACAGACATTTGTACTAAACTGATTTTATCATGAAAGAAGTAAAACATGCAACTAAAACCAATCAAAGCCAACATCCAATAAACCAAAACTCATCCCCCTCAAACCTTCTCTTAGAAAAACATCCAAGCTATCCTGCTCCACAACGGATCAATGCCACTCTTTGAAACGCAGCAGGGCGGTGTGATGAACCGCTCGGCTCTCAGCACTTATCGCGATGTGTAATCCCATTAGACAGGACCTTTCATCATTCTCTCCGGAGAGTTCCAGCTCTGACTAGCAACGTCGTCCAATAAGAGAAAGAAAAGTCGGAATAAAAATAAATAAAACACAACTAGCTTATAATGATCAGGGCTTGAAAACGAAGGGTTTTTAGAAGCTGCATTTGCAGAAAAGGCCTTAAAGGACAGAACATAAATACAAATTCTTCCACTACACTTGCGTTTCAGCACACTGTCCTGCAGAAATGAGAATAAACATGACCCAAAATAAATGATAAAACTCACATCCATCAAATTCACAGACAACCGCAGCAACTGCAGCAAAAATAACAGACAAGGATTTATCTCAGTCACAGGGCAGCTGACTTACAACTACATATGTCAGAATCTGCTGTTTGAATTGCAAGTGCATTCAAACGTTCTGGGATTGGCCGAGCGCTCTGCAGCAGGAGCAGCAGCGGACTGCTGATTCCTACAATTTTTACACAGCTCAGCTTTGGGTGACCTCTAAGACTCCCGCAGGACCAAACAGATTCAGCAGACGAGCAAGCAGACAATGCTACAGTAGGGAGGAGCAGAGAGCAGAGACAAAGCTCGTGGGTCAAAAGGAAATCTTCCTGAAGCTGCAAAAATAAAATATCCTTTAAATCTGTTTTCTTATCTAATCAGTGCACATACAGAGAGCTGGCTGGTCCTGGTTAATCTCTTTTATTCTTATTCAGCACTTTTCTAAAACCTCATTAGAAAGTTTGTCAGCAACCAGCATGTCAGAATCCACACAGAAGCCAAGAGAAGATGCTCCATAGATCTGGCTTATTACCACATAAATTTAGGAATATTATATGGAAAGTCAAGAAGCAGCATTAACATTTAAGATTTTCATGCATAATTTAAAACTACTTAAAATTTAGAACAGTTTCATTAGAAGAAGCACATTAATATGATAACTATTTCTAATATAAAAGCTGTGACAAAAATGCAAAATGTTTTGTAAACAATACAAACTAGGTCCATTAAAATAATGTTTTACTTATTTAAAATACTATTATTATTATTATTATTATTATTATTAACTATAATAATAACAACAAGAATAATAATAATAATAATAAACAGTTTATTCAATATTTGAAATCAATTTCATAGTTTTTCTTTATAATTTTGTTACAATAAAAAGATAAAATTACTGAAATGTGCTTAAAATCGGTAACCAGAATGAGCTCGGGATGTTTAGCCTTTTTTTAATTGAACACGATAAAAAATATATATAAATATATATTTTTTGGGAGTTTACATACAAACTATTTAAAAAATGCTGCTGAACATCCTCAGTAATGCAAGTTTTATCACACCAGCTTCTTTCATTATCACCCCCTCCCAGCAGCCATGTGTTTACCAAATGATTTCACTTGTTTACAGTTATTTTCAATAGTGAACTATTTCTGATTGTGTAAAGTCGCAGTAGCCTTCAGCACTCTTCCAAAATGTTAAATACACCTCAAAATGTATCTCATAGAAAGTGAGAAACCCTGAACATCTTCACTCTAACTTGCTTCAGACTGAATAAACTGTATAGGCCGTGTTTGATGCGTCCCACTCTCCCATTCTTTATGCTGGTTCTCTTGGTACTGGTATTTCTCGCCTTCCAAGAACAAAAAAAGTCTGAACTTGTAGTTGAAAACCATACTTGTGGACTTCTGTAACTCCTAATTGGTTTGTTGTTTACACTTGCTGCATTTTTTTTGCCATGAAAATTAATTGACGCTAACTTACCTGCGTGATTATCAACCGTTTGACAGGTACAGGATCTTTGGCGCCCTATCGATAGTAGATTAATCATGCCTGACTACGTTTGCGTTAGCTGTTTAAAGTTTGAAATAAATGTTTGATTAGAAATAACAAACTTATGCTCGTAAAACATGTATAACTAAATGTATCCTTTTGATATTGCAACTCAATTTGAATTTATTGAAAGAAAAAAATCCTCCAGTCTACAGTGGATATAATTTCGCTCTGGGGCCGCTAGGGGGCGTATGATCTGATGGCAATAGCTAGCTGCTGACAGCTGCTGCTGTAGCTCGTTGATTCAACTTTAACGCAGACAGTGAGATAGATTTATTGAGTTTTATCAGTTACGTAGTTTATATAAGTGAAGACGTTCTAGCCTCTCCGTTTTTAGACTAACTATGATGTTAACGCTAAAGGAATTTACAGTAAGTCCTTGTTTAGCTTTAGAAAGCTGTAGTAACATGTTATGTCCGCCAGATGGCGAACAAAACTCCAATATTTGATATTTATTAATAACTTTTAAAAGCTCGTTCAGTCTAAGTTGTGTGAATTACCTAAATTAATGGCCTTTTGCACAGTTATTTGTAACTTCAGCTGTATGCAAGAACAACACTGACCCTGAATAGAAAAATACATTTTCTAGTGAGATTTAATGATATAATGTAACACAACTGTTCTGCAGTGAAAATGAATGGAAAATTTAAGAATCTGGAAATATTTACCCCATAGTTTTATAATTTTTTTTCATATGAGTTCATATGTTGCTCAGATAAAATCAAAGATGATGAATTGCGACACTTTTCAATGCAGCTTTCCCTCGGACTGGATTAAAACAAGGCTGATTTGGTGATTACATTACAAAGGTCACCCTAAAGAAAGTTGCCTAAACTTTGTCTTTTCTCTCTCTCTCTCACACACACACACACACACACACACACACACACACACACACACACACACACACACACACACACACACACACACACACAACAATGTTTTTATTGGACATCTCCAATGAGGAAAGGAGCAAACATTCAACACAGACCCCTGCTCTGGCAGACATGGCGGAAAGACTACGCTTACCAACAAAAATGCTGGAATTTATGCAAATATCCACATCCTTACAGGCTGTTGAAATGTGCAAGAGTAGGCTTATATTTGCACCACTGCAATTTAGTGAAAAAAACTGTTTCCATTTCTGCAGTGAAATAAAAATAAAATCTCTCTTGCAGCAAGACAAATATGAATGTAAGTGTGATTTTCCTAAATGGTGAAAGCAAAACCTCCAAACTCCTGCTGTGACAACATTTTCATATTAATCAACCAGGAGGAAATGATGAGGGAGGAAGTGACTGCAGAAACGCCTTGCCTCTCCACCTCCAGGATCTCTGTCCTGCTTAGATAAGCTACTCCTGTTGCTAATTTCAAGCAGAAAAGCAGGAAATGTGACAGTGTAGTTTTCCGCTTCCATAAACAAAGATGACTGCCAGGGTTTGTCATCAGTCCTGCGTGCCTCATGGTCAGCTCTCCCTGGAAAAAGAGTCCCACAAACAGAGAAAGTGAGAGAAGGAGCAGAGGGTGAGGAAAGAAAAAAAGACAGGAAAGAGACGAGGCTGAAAGGCAGGAAAAGCCATCAGAAGAGAGGAAAGAGACTCACTGAGGAGAGGAGTTTATAAGGAAGGCTGGACACAGAATCCGACTCTTTTCATGTCATGGCTGAAAACAACACCAACATTTTTCTGGACATTCTGAAGTCCTTTGATGCTGGTGAGTTTCTGACTTTCCATCTTTTGACATTCGATGTGATCGCTCTGGTTGGCGTGGTTTTCACTCAGGAATTTCAACCTTTATCCCTCCTGAAATGGTTTCAACATGTTTCCCTGAATCACCCCTGAGCAATAATTAATAAAAATAAAAATTTAAGCATAAAAAAACTTTTTCCGCATGGAAACTCACTCTAACAGGTTTTCTGAACTTTTTCTTCCCCTCGTTCCTTCCAGTTTTCTCAAATGCCCCTTCCAGATGTTTCACTGATGCTTGCTTTCATCTTTTCCACAGATAGAAGGAAAGAATGGTGAAGACATTTATTCTTGTTGAACAGTGACTAGTTTATCAAAATTAATTTATCTAATCTGCATCTCTCTCTCTCTCTCTCTCTCTCTCTCTCTCTCTCTCTCTCTCTCTCTCTCTCTCTCTCTCTCTCTCTCTCTCTAGCATATTGACGCTGTTGCTTTTTAGACAGTTTTCCTCGTCGTGCAGAAAAAATATGATAAAGTGGACCAAAGAAGAAATAAATAACTATGTATTATCCTTATGTTATTCACCAAAGGACTGACACCTTTCCCCACTGTTTCAGTATTTAAAGAGCAAGTCACCCCCTACAAGAAGCGTACTTCACTCCCACTTCATGTTTGAAAAATGCAACAAATGCTGTTGCCTAGCAGACTGAGAGGGTGGAGCCACTAACAAATACACACACTCACAACATTGTGACATCATAATGTACCAGTTTACATAGCATACCTCTTAGCCAATAGCGATGGCAGATTTAAATTCAAATGCAGTGCAGAGTTTTTACCTGACAACAGCACAACACTGAAAGTTTCAGGCAGAAATTTTAAATTTTAACCAAAATGCACTAAAGTGCAAAACTATTGACTACACGTGTCTGCAGCACGATTAGACACGCATTTATATAGTTTATCAGGAAAAAAATGTTGATTTGGGGGTGACTTGCTCTTCAAGAACCTTATTGTTGGTGTTAAAGGGATTTTTCCACCCAAAAGGGAAACTTTGTCTGTTGATATATTTCCCATAGTTAGATAAATGGGGAAACCCCATTTCTAGCCAGCCCAGTCCTTCTCCTGGCTCGGCAGTACTCCTTTAGCTTTAACTTAGCATAGAACATAGTAAGTGAATGGGACCAACTAGCATTGTGAGAAAAAGACCTTAAAATCACTCAGTAGTGAGCCGAATTCTGCCTGGTGACCTAAATAATCACATTGACTTCATGTGAAAGTAAGAAGTAACACGAAGGAATCAAAGGCATTATTTTAGACTTGGGACTACTTTATGATGAAGTACAGCAGTAAGATTACGCCAAAAGGTGCAAGGACAAGGGTTGACACGACAACCCTTAACACTTATACTTTTTCTTGAATTACAAACTTACTCAAACTACTGTAAATAATCTTTGTGCAACTCTGTTATTTTTCTTCGTCTTAGTGGTCAGCAAGCAGCCTACAGACGTGCACGAGAATTAACGGACTTTTTTTCTCACAATGCTAATTGGTCCAATTCACCTACTGTGTTTTATGCTAAGCTAAAGCTAAAGAACTACTGCCTGCTCAGGAGAATAACTAGGCTGGTAACAAATAGTTTTTCCCCCTTATTCAACTCTGGGAAATATGTCAACAGACAAATTTTCAAATTTTGGAGGAAGTCACCCCAAAATCAACCTTTGTTTGCTGATAAACAATATAAATGAGTGTCTAACCATGCTGTAGACATGTGTAGTCAATAATTTGGCACTTTAGTGCATCTTAGTTAAAATTTTGTAGCGTCATGAAGGGACTGTTTTCCATCTAAAGGTCATCTCCCCCTCTCTCCTCATGAAGAACTAATCTCCTTGAGATATTGCTCAAGGCCTTTGATGCCTCTGCATCTAAACTGTTTTAACTAGCTATTTGGCCCCCCCCCCCCCCCCCCCCAGCTCAAGAGAAGACCAAGAAGAACTCTCTTAGAAATCAGAAGAACTCTATTAAATAATAATTAAATAATGTCTGTTAGTCAAATAATCATGTGAAGCCTAATGTTCAATCAATCTGTGAAATGAGAATATGAATTACTTGATATTATAATACTGTAATCAGTAGTTTTGTATAAGAATTAACTCGGTACAGAAGCACTAGACACTCCTATCACAAGTAATGCTAAGATCACATGACACATTCCTTTAGTCTCTCCAATCAGATCTTTCCTTTCTGACGCGTGGCATAATCTGTGCGGTGTTTATATTTGTTGTCCAGTTCTGATTCGACCATAAATCAAAACATCTGAATTATAAAACTAACTCCCACGTCATCCTTAACTCAGTTCAAACGTTCTAGAGTTGCGAGCCGACCACTCGTAGCTTTTTAACCACAAAGAACCAAACGACAAGCTGGATAATAAAACCTGTTGCAAGCTACACCTGACGCAACGCTCCTTCAGAGTAAAAGCTGAACTCACTGACCCTTCAGGGTCCCGCTGACGCTGTCAAACACCTGTTGCTTACCTGGAGGCAATCCCAAGACTAGTCTGTCGTACCGTACGCTGTTTCATCGGCTCCGATACCAAAGGGGGGTCCGAGGACCTGGCATTCTGGATCTACAACGGAGGTCCCCACCAAGGGCATGTAGGGCGGCAAGATAGTGTCTGAATGTGGTTTTTGAAACTCCGACTGTAGTTTAGAGCAAAACATTCGCTCCCACACAGAACTAACGCTTCTCCGAAAACGAGAGTTCTGATAACAACATTCCACATCCATTTTGCCTCATTCACACCTAGAGCCATTCATCAGAGTGTTTAGAGTTAGTTAGAATTGTTTTAAATCGTTTAGAAATAAATCTTCTTAAACTTTAAAACTTCTCTTTCTCTCTTTTGACTCTGGGTTAATAGGAAGTGTTACCTAATCCCTGCAATAAAAAAGTTCTGATTTTCTGTTTAAAGTAATATTTAAGGATACATCAAATTGATTTCACATTTTCTATGGAATCTCACCTTTGATGGTTTCCTATGTAAGATGTAACTAACGAATCATTACAATTTAAATATTCTGCTTAAAACTGTCAGTGTTGTGCCCTCTTCGGGTAAAAACGCTGCACTGCATTTGAATTAAAATATGCTATCGCTGTTGGCTAAGAGGTACACTATGATGTCAGCTGGTACATTATGATGTCACAATGTTGTTGTGAGTCTGTGTGTTTGTTAGCGGCTCTGCCCTCTTGGTCTGCTAGGCAACAGCATTTGATGCATTTTTCAAACAGGAAGTGGGAGTGGAGTAAGACTGGTAGGGGGTGACTTGCTCTTTAAATATTGTTTGATTAGTCATACTGTGATATCTTTGTTCATTTCCATAGACTCGACTTTGCTGCTGGCGGTTAGCAGAAAAGCCCTCAATGATTCAGTTCTGATCATTATAACACTGGTTCATTCATTGGTTTTAGGAACTTTAAACAAATGATGTTAATCTGAAAATGGTCATGTACTGCAGAGGGAATGTGTGGAAAAGCAAAGTCCAAAGAAAACCTCAGAAAAGCCAGATGTACATAGCACAAGGCCACTAAAAGTTACATGAAAATCTGGCTCACTAGAAGGAAATTCTGTCTTAAAACTGCATTTTTGCAAGACAATTGTGGCATTCTGAAGTTTTGCATTAATACAACCGATAACTAATTGTGCCTGAATAATAATCAGGGTAGAAGAGAAAAAAATACAGAAAAAAATAAATCTATAAATAGAAAGGTTTTTGTGATACTAAACTAAGAACATGACTTTTTTTTTCTCGTTCCAGTTCCTATAATTATTGCTTTCTGTGTGTCTGTGGCTGTGGGTCTGCTCCTGGGGGCCATGGTTTATACCATCCTAACATGGATGTCCCGACGCAGAGCAGGGTCCGCCAGCATCACCCGCCACCCACCCCGACACTCGCATACCTTCTCCCGCAATCATCCAGGGTTTAACCGCAGCAGCAGCTCTGATCGGAGGAGCAACAACAGTTTAGTTAGCGCTGCTTTCAGCTTCCACCGGCAGACGTCCTCCCCAGATCATCTCGACGCAGTCGGGCACAAGTCCAGCTTCAGGGCCTCCACCTTCCACCCTCTCATCCAGTGCAGCCAGATAGCAAGGGAGGCAGAGGAGGGAAGCCAGACCACGCTGCCGCGAACACCACCTCTGACCACATCAGCTGGATCTGCTCAAAGTGATGCTCAAACCAACCCAACAAGGCCGGAGTCGTTCTGGGGCAACAACGGACTGAGGGGTTTCAGCGCCACACAGACACCACCTCCAGCCTACGAGAGCATCATCAGGGCATATCAGGAAACAACCACCTGACAAGACACTTGATTCATGTGAAACCAGCTGGTTCCCAGGTGAAAAGAAATTTGTAAAAGAAATTTGCTTTTTGATTTTAAATGAGTGACATTTGCCTCTGCTCAAACTGGACTGTTTATCACATTTGCAGAAGTTAAAACGTGCATTTGTGTGTACTGTGATAAAAGAACCATGTAAAAATACACAAAATGTTTTATATGAAGAGCCACAGGAAGGGAAATGTGTCAAACTGAGTAAAAAATGTATGGAAAACTGTGATGATAACTGGGTTAAACTGACCAAGTGCTTGTTTGTGTTGGGAAAAGAGATTTAACCAAACCACACTGAGTAAATATGAATGAAATTGATATAATTGTGTGTTTACATTTGCAGACTTCATGAGTGTGTGAATACTCCATGTGGGCATTAACTGAATGAAGTTTGAATATATCTCTTTTTGTGTATTAACTTAATAAAAGCATCAATGAAAGGTTTTATTTGTATTACAGAGAGCTTGTGATCACTTCTTTACCAGAGCTATCCTCATTAGCACAAATGTTATAGCTTGCAGATTGGACATGTCAATTTGACAGTTTGGAGAAGAAAAAACATCACCAAAATTATGATTTGCTTTAGAAGAGGTTTAGAAAACTTTTTTTACAGTAAATGTTATCATTATTCTGTTTTAATAATGTTTTAATTAGTTTTCTTCAAAGAGTGGTTGGGCTCTCCCTTAGGGGGAGAAGCTCGGTCATCTGCTGCTCCTCCACATCGAGAGGAGCCAGTTGAGGTGGCTCGGGCATCTGGTCAGGATGCCTACCTGATGAGGTTTTCCGGGCAAGTCCAACCAGGAGGAGACCTAAAGGTAGACCCAGGACACGCTGGAGGGACTACGTCTCTCACCTGGCCAGGGAACGCCTTGGGATTCCCCCGGAGGAGCTGGCCCAAATGGCTGGGGAGAGGGAAGTCTGGGCCCCCGCGACCCGACTCCGGATAAGCGGATGAAAATGGATGGATGGATATTTAATCTTACACTAATGAAACATAAAGGTACTATATACTATTCATATATGTATTCTACAAATAAAAGTATTAATGTGAAGTACAAGTGCCACGAAATTAGTAAAACACAACTCATCATAAACCTAAATTTCTTACGAAACGACTAAATCAACAGTAGTTACTTAGATTTACCATTTCTAAGCCTTTAGCAGCGTTTGTTATGACTTGTATGCACGGCTCACGCTGATGACGTGATATTTGTGAGACAACGTTGTGCTATGTTTATGATCATATGCTGCAGTCGTGGAGGACAGTATTATCGTCATTCCTACATAACCCGTCTTTTAATAAAACAGGTAACTATTTTTTTTGTCACGACAGTGAACTCCCAACCTTTCCGATGGTTAACTTTGTGTGTCAGCTTAAATATTAGTTCGAGCTTTAAAATTTAAAGCTAATGCAGGATTATAATGCTGCTTCCGTTTTTCGTTGGTACAGATTACTGCTGCGTTTTTATGTCAGAGTTTTTTCTGTGTTAGTTTACGTGACAAGGTGTAAAAAGTGGGAATAAAAATAACTGACAGCAAGTGCAGAAGTCGTCCAACCTTTTTAATCCACGATTAGCTAAGTTAGCTATGGTTAGCTAACTGCTGAATGAGGTGATAAAAACTATCAGCTGTCATATTGATCAATGTTATTGCAAGGTTTGATTCAAGTAACTACATAAACATAAAACACACTGTCAGTGTTTTGTTATAAAAGTTGATTTTATGAAAAATGTTCTATTAAAAATGATTGTAACGTGAAGGAAGCATGGCTTTGTGTGTGTGTGTGTGTGTGTGTGTGTGTGTGTGTGTGTGTGTGTGTGTGTGTGTGTGTGTGTGTGTGTGTGTGTGTGTGTGTGTGTGTGTGTGTGTGTGTGTGGTCTATTAAACCCACAGAGGAGTGGAGGATGTCTATAGCAGCTTTACGTTTGATCCACTGTCGCAGATTGACTTCAGCTGGGTCTCCTGGAGTGAAAAAAGTGTTCCAGTGGAAAGCTTTAAGTAGGTTTTTGCATTGGTCTGTCTCATAATGTCAGCAATCTGCAGTCAATTCCAACCCACCTCCTAAACAAATCTTATTTAGGATGAATTTAGGAGGAAAACCTAACGCAGTGAAATGTAAAACACAATATTTTGTTTAATGAATGAAAACATTTAAAATGAGCTAATAGTGTATAGCTGAAAACTGTGACTGTATAGTTTTAAATACCTGCACCCCGCGTTGTTTCAGTGGCATAAGAATGAATTGTTTTTATTCATCTGTACAATCATTTCAATTTTGGCCCCAAAGTATGTACAATTATCTGCATTTTAGTGTACAGTTGAAACTGCCCCCCCCCCCCCCCCCCTTTGAAAACTGAGTTTCAATGAATTGATTAAATAAATTTTCTGTCTCATATAATTTAGGGAAAGTAGCTAAAGTGACTGGTGCAGTTGTTATAGGGTAAGTCTCACATGTTAATATGCAGATTTCTCAAAAACAGGAATTATTTTGCAGATTATGCTAAACTCATTACTTGTGCCTCTGCTCATCTGTCATCCTCTCTCTAGGGGGTGTGTTTTTATTACCTATGAGATGGTTGCGCTAGACAAGGCTGTAACCATTGACACAAGTGCAATCCTACAGGAGAAATATAAATCATACATCTATCTCAGAGCTACAGCCACTGCTGAAAAGAAAAACCTAATTGCAGGTAAAATGTTTATAATATTACTTTTTAGAATAAAAATGACGTGATTATTTTTAATTGTATTACAAATGTGACCTTCCAGTTGGATTATTTCAATTTTCTTTATGTAATCAGACTTTCCACACACAGCAGAGCTGGCATAATTTTGTGTCCCATCCTTCCTTCCTTTCTGCCATTATCCTTTCTGTATATTTGGGTCACTCTGTTCTGTGAACTCACTTCCACAATGCAAGGCTAACATTTTAGCAGGAAACTATCACAGCAGAGAAGCATTTTAAAACCTGCTAGGAGTTGTTTCTGTCTCCAGACTGAATATTACTAAAGTTTTGTGGAATTTGGACACTAACTGTTTCTACTCTGTTTCTGTTGCAGATTTAACACACAAAACACAAAGAGAGCTTCATAAAGCAGCAAGACGGTTCCTGGAACTATCCTCCAGACTTTTCCTGCAATCACTAGATGGTAGGAGATCAAGTTACTTTCAGAAAAACTTGCCTATGGGTGTCTTACAAATAATGCAAAGTGTAACTCTATAGTACATTGTATAAAATTGAAGAGTGGTTTTATTGGTTTTAGAAGCGTAGGAATGTGTTCACAGAAGTAATACATCCATTTTTGTGGTGTGTGTGTGTGTGTGTGTGTGTGTGTGTGTGTGTGTGTGTGTGTGTGTGTGTGTGTGTGTGTGTGTGTGTGTGTGTGTGTGTGTGTGTGTGTGTGTGTGTGTGTGTGTGTGTGTGTGTGTGTAGATGAGGAACAAGGAAAGGAAACACCTGCCTAAGTCATGAACATCCTGTTTTTAAGTCTCACATATTTTGTGCTTTATTTGCACACAAAATGGGAATTTGACTTTTGACCTGTACAAATATTTGCGCAGCAGTAAAGATTCATCTATCCATTTTCATCCACTTATCTGGGGTTGGGGTTGCAGGAGCAGTAGCCTAAGCTGAGAGGCAGAGACTTTCCTCTCCCACTTGGGCCAGCTCCTCCAGAGGAATCCCAAGGCGTTCCCTGACCAGCTGAGAAATATAGAGTCTCTCCAACGTGTCCTGGGACTCCTTCCGATTGGAAATGCCTACAACACCTCACCAGGGAGGCGTCCTTAAGGCATCGTAACCAAATGCCTAACCCACCTCAACTGGCTCCTCTCAGTGTGGAGGAACAGTGGATCTACTCCGAGCCCCTCCTGGATGATCAAGGGACATGCTTGAATGCCTTCTCCAAGTCCACAAAACACATGTGGTCTGGTTGGGTGAACTCCCATGCACCATCCAGGACCCGGCGGAGAACTGGTCCAGTGTTCCACGGTCAGGATGAAAACCACATTGTTCCTCCTGAATCAAAGGTTCAGGTATCCATGACCTGTTTGCCATGGGAGACCCTATCAGGGACATAAAGCTCAGACGGCTCAGATCGTTGGAGCACTCAATCCCCTCCACCGCAGTAAGGTGGCAGGCCAGGGAGCAGAGCTATAAAGATGTGTAAAATAATTTCATACTTATATTCTAGTAAAAAAAATTCTTTTTATTTTTTATTCATGAGCTGCAAAACTGGTGGCACAAAGTTTGCTGCCACAAGGTTTGTACACTACCCCTCTAGTTGTACTAAAACCCCAAATCAGAAAACGGTTATTAGTTAGTAATAGTTCCACTCTGAGCCTAGAAGTATTTAATCACTATCTCCTGTTATTAATAAAGCCAGTCAGTTTATTTTTAATAGCGTGTGTTTCTTAGAGCACTTAAGCCATGTGGATGCACACCCATATGAAGTTGCATTATGGGTGCTATTGAAGAAGACTCAGTCAGCCAATAAAGATGTCCGACTGCAGGCTGTCCAGGAGATTGCTGCCAATCACCACTGGCAAGGTAAAAACTAGACTATTTCTAATTACATGAACAAAACCGGTATTATTTACACCTTTTTGTGAATAATCCAGATTACCAGTACCAAACAGCAGCCCAGATTATCGACCAGAGGACAGCAGTGGGCCTGGCCCGAACTCCTCAGGTGGACCTGCGATTCTTCCGACACCCACTTCCACCGCCTGCTTTGGAAGATGTATGTATGTCAGTGAAACTGCAGTATTTCAAACTGCTGAAATTTTACCCCACATGTGTAACTGTTCATGTGTACCTTAGAGTTTGTCTGCAGAGAATGACCTACGCCAGCTGCTGGCATCTCTTCCTCTGTCTGAGGTTGACAAATGTGTTCAGTACTTCACCTCTCTGGCTCTGAGAGAGAGTGATCAGTCCATGGCAGCACAAAGGGTAAATGTTACAATCACAAATAACCAAAACTATCTCTGTGACATCCTGAAAAGTTCAATTAGTTATTGACATGTGGAATCATTGGTGTTGTAGGGCGGTCTGTGGTGTTTTGGTGGTAATGGGCTGCCCTATGCTCAGAGCCTCACATCTGTTCCTTCAGAGAAAGTAGAAACTTTCTGTCTGCAGGCTCTGGTCCAGCACTCAAAGGTAATATTGTCCATCCACCCATTGTCTGCACCTGCATATCCACACAGGGCCGTGGGGGGCTGGTGCATATCATCAGCAGTCTTTGGGCAAACAGGCCATACAGAAAGACCCCAGGCTGGGATGCAAACCTGGGACCCCCCTGCTGCAAGGTTACAGTGCTAACCACTGCGTTGCTGTGCAGCCCAATGAATAGTGTGATACAGACATTTTTTCTTTCTTTTTACATCTGTATCTTTGTAGTCCTGCATTTTGCAGCATAGCTTGTCACTCAGACCCAAAATTTTGAATTAGGACTCCACCAGACGTTGCCAGTTCTGACTGGCATCCTCTCCCATCACCGAAGCCAACCCATCACCAGGTGGTGGTCAGTTGAAAGCTCCATCCCTCTCTTCACCTGAGTGTCTAAGACATGTGGCAGCAGATCAGATGAGTCGACGACAAAGTCAATCATCAAGCTGCAGTCTAAGGTATCCTGGTGCTAAGAGTACACATGGACACCATTATTCCTGAACATGGTGTCCATTATGGACAATCCGTGACAAGCACAAAAGTCCAATAAAAACACCACTCAGATCATGGGGCCATTCCTCCTAACCACACCTCTCTGAGTCTCGCTGTCATTTCCCATGTGAGCGTTAAAGTCCTCCAGCAGAACACCAAAAGGACCCCCAAGGACTCCAAAAGAGTGGGTAAACTGACCTGCAGTTTGGTGCATATGCACAAACTACAGTCAGGATCCGTCCCCTCACACACAGGGGGACGGAAGTCCCTGGGACCTGTCTGCCATGGGTCACCTACAAGAGACATGAAGCGCCAGACAACTAAGCTCTTAGGATCATCGGACACTCAGTCCCTTCCACCACGATAAGGTGTTATAGCTACGGTTTTTAATCCTCTGTAATTGACATTACTTTCTACATTTGGTCTGCAGGTACAGAGCCACTGTGACCTTATTGTTTCAAATGGGGGTCTACCTCTCCTTCAGAGACTGTACCAGCTCCGGAGGGAATCCCTAAAGATTCAGAGAAACATTGTTCGCATTATAGGAAACCTGGCTCTAAATGAAGGTGTCCACCAGGCCATATTCCAGTCTGGTAAGTGTGTAATAAATCCAAATATGCAATATGTTGTTGTTTTTTATTTGTTGTAATAGTCTCTGCTTGAAAACTGACATTATAATGAGTGTAATCGTGTTTTTTCATCTTTAAACCACCTTCAGGCTGGCTGCCTGTGTTGGCTGAGATGATGCAGTCTCCTCACATCATGCAGGCGTCTCATGCAGCTCGAGCTCTGGCCAACCTGGACAGAGATACAGTAACAGAAAAATACCAGGACGGTGTCTACATCCTCCACCCACAAACACGTGACAAGTAGAACAGCTGTCTTTTGAATTTATTCTCTAGATTTCAAAGCTTTATTCTTCTTCTTCAGTAGAACGCAACACTTAGCTTTGACATTGTGTTCCAGCCAGCCAATCAAAGCAGACGTGCTGTTTATTCATGGGATTCTAGGAGCAGCTTTTAAGACATGGAGGCAGAAGGACCGCAGTACGTTAGAGGAAGAGAGGGACGCTAAAGGCAGCGATGACTATACAGAGTGTTGGCCAAAGGTAACAGATCCTCAGAATTCTTAGAGCTGCACAAGAAACCAAATATGATCTTTTTTGGATAGATTTTGATGTTTCCTGAGGAAATACAAGCTTTAATTCTCATGTCTTTTTCTTCTTGGTTATCGGCAGTCATGGCTAGCTGCTGATTGCCCAAATTTGAGAGTGCTGTCAGTGGAGTATGACAGCCATCTGAGTGACTGGATGGCCAAGTGTCCAGCTGAGAATCAAAGGTGAAAATTTCTAGTTTATTCACTTATTTGTGGGGGAAAAACAAAACAAAAAAATGGCTAAATAGGAATTGAATCTAACTTTGTCCAGCAATTATCTTATTCTGCATAATTTATCCTACATCCTTACCTTTTATATCGTCATATTAAGTAAATTAAGTTACAATTTCATGTGATTTTTTTAGTAAACCCAGTCGATTGAGTGGAGGATTAGTTGTCTGTTTGTCTTTCCAGGAAGTCGTTGGCCTACAGAAGTCGAGAGCTGCTAAATAAGTTAAAGCTGGCAGGAGTTGGAGAGAGGCCTGTGGTTTGGGTAGCTCACAGTATGGGAGGTACTCTGTCTGTGCTGCCTTTACCACAAACTTGTCAGACTTTTACCCAGATTTCTGCAACAATCTCTTGATCACATTTCTGGCTATGTGCGACTGTTTCAGGAAAAATAATCAATCTGTGCTCTCTGGGATGTGACTCTCCTCTTAGGACTGCTGGTGAAGAAAATGCTGTTGGATGCTGCGGACGACCCAGACTTGCAGGGATTGATAAAGAACACTAAGGGAATAATGTTCTATAGTGTTCCTCACCGTGGCACCTTAATGGCAGAGTACTCTGTGAATGTCAGATACCTTCTATTTCCTTCTATAGAAGTCAGAGAACTCTGCAAAGGTGAGGGCTGTGATCATTCCTTCTAAAATGGCTTGAATTAAATAGTTTGTTGTCTGCAATGAGTCGATGTCTGTGTGTTCAAAGACTCCCCAGCTCTGCGTAACCTGAATGAGGGTTTTCTGAAAATTGCCAAAGAAAATGAAATCAAAGTGCTGAGCTTTGCAGAGACGTTGCCCACAAATATTGGTCCTATGATTAAGATATTTGTGGTCCCAACTCAGTCAGCAGGTATGTAAGATACAGTGGGGAAAAGTCAATGAGCTATACTTTTGATAAAATAATAAAAATCTGTCATCCAGTTTCTTACCTTCTCTTTTTGAGTAATCTCTTGTTTTGTTCCAGATCTGGGCATCGGAGAGCTCATTCAGGTGGATGTGGATCACCTGAACATCTGCAAACCAGAGAAGAAGGACTCGTTTCTCTACAGACGCAGCCTCCAGTTCATCCAGGAAGCACTCCAGAGATACACAAGCCAATAAAAGACATACAAGCACATCAGTAGTGACATTAAATTGTTTACTTGAAGTTTGAGGAACACTGAGTCCTTCCACCAACAAACTCAAAACCCCAAACCTCTTTTTGTACACGTTTACAACCATAATGTGAGATGTTAACAATCATAATGCAGACACATTTATTTCACACACTTACTAACTGTGATAGATAAACCCGAACCTCTGATTTGTTATCTTTTTACATTTTCCTCCCTTATGTTTTCATTTTTACCGGTCAAAGTCATGTTTCGAGTAAACTCAGATTATGAGAAGTACCACCATCTTTCCATTTTAGACCTTGCAGCCACAACAAATATATATTTACTTAAAGATGCATTTTTAAAAACTGCTTCTATGTAGTTTTGATCAGAGTAATGGTTGAAATGTTATTTTTGTATTCATTCATTCTACTGAAACGTGTTGTTTTTTGTGCCAAATGGATTATTTGCCAAGCCTTTTTTAAAATGGCCCTGATTTAATATATTAGGTCAACTCTATTAATTTTATTACATTAATTATGCATCACAATGGGCCAACATATACTAGAAATGAGAATAAATCAAATGAATGAGTACATTTGTTCAGTTTGACTTGTCTATGCATTCATTAAATGATGTATTAAAATACTGAATACAACAGAATTGTTAAATGGAAATCGTTTGGTGTTTATTTTCTAACTTAATCTGACAAAAAGTAATTTAACAAGCATCCATTGCAAAATAGTTAAAAACAAATGTACATGTGCAATACTCACACACACATGCATACGTACGCATGTATACATATGTATGTATGCATGTACATACACGTACACGTTTGTTCAGAAATCTTGCATTATAGATCACTTGGTGGAATTGGGCTGGGAGTAAAGCACAGGAGCGTCAAATATTTTTAATAACAATTTTTCAAAAATCACAGTGAAATCGTTATAATATAAGCAGATAATTACGTGAAATGTACCAGATAGCGTGGAAGAACATGTTAAACGGAAGTGGCAAAAATGCGCATCCTTCAATGCTGTAGTGGTAGAGGAAGATTGTCCCTGGTTGCTCGCCGTAGATCTTACCTCAATGCTACGGAACTTAGCTTAAAAAGCAGCTGCTGTTGGGTCTGAACGAGTAGTTTTACACGATTTCTTACCAACTTTAGTGTTCTCCCGAACATTGTGGTTGTTGTGGTAAGTTTTAATTAGAACGTTTTGCTTAAAAGTGTTGCAAAATACGTTGTTAGCTTGTTATTTTTAGCTTGTTTACTATTTCTCATGAATTTTCTCTGTACATTAATTGTCCGGTATGAATATGTGTTGTATATGCATACAGTATTTATGTTACTGTCGCAACATTTTTGCACGTTTTGTTTATTTTGCAGACTTTAATCAACTACACCTGTCATCATGGTGAATGTTCACAAGGGTGTTCTTGTTGAATGGTAAGGAACTTCAGAGTGAAGAAAACTGTAAAATTACTTTCTTCTGTAGAAAACTCCTACAATTATAATGTCTTTTTCCTCTCCATGTTCTGTTTCAGTGATCCTGCTATGAAACAGTTTCTCCTCTACCTAGATGAAACCATGGCTTTAGGAAAGAAGTTCATCATCAAGGATCTTGACGACACACACGTTTTTATCCTGGCAGAGGTGGTCCAGACTCTTCAGGAGAGAGTTGGGGAGTTAATGGACCAGAATTCATTCCCCATCACGCAAAAATAACCCTCAGATCTTTGACTTTCCTCTCATGGACTACTCAATTTGTTGTTGTTTGCTTTTGCTCAATAAAATGAGACATGTAAATGTTTTGGTTTGATAAAAGTGGAAGTGATCAATTGGATAAAAAGTTTCTATTTTTGTGGAGTTCTTTTTCACTTGTAGATGGGTATCAAAAATAATCTATTAAAAGTACTTGTTAATTCACACCATAATTTAACCAAATCAGATTTTTCATTTAATCTAGTTCCGATAGAAAAATAGAAAATCCCTTTATCCACAGTGGAGAAATTTGGGTTAAAGGAATATATGTACATATCTAGAATGGCATGCCAGCCTAGCAATTACATTCATGGCAGGAGCAAAATGAGAAAAATATGATAAACAAAACCTCACAGTTACCTAAGGCATTTGAAGAGGTACATTACAACAGAGTAATTATTGTGAGAAAATAATTCAATTGTTGTTTTTATGATATCAGGGATTCAATTAGTGCTTTCAGATAGAAACCAGAGAAGAAATTGACATTTCTCACAAATCTCATAACGTTAATGAAATACTGAGATAATGAGTTTTCCCTGTTTAAAATGTTTTGCCACCTTCAGTTTGTTCTATTGATGAATGAAATGACAGAGATACAGTTATAATTGTGAAAAGTCTAACACTAGACAGTGTCCCTAATGTTATGTTAGGTGGACAGAAACTGCAAATGTACTTTTAACATGTCTGAGGATAGAAATTTTATAAACGAGCAAATTCTACATCCGAGCATTTCAGTAATGTAACACAGTTGTTTCCTCCAGTGGTTAAATGACCATCGGACTGTCAGAGAGCAGCATGGAATGACAGAAAGAACAAGAAATATAAAGACAGCAGTGGTTCAACACAAAGCATTAAATTGTTTGTGGAATGGTTTTGCAGGCTCTGGGACCTGATGATACCTGGACCCTACAAAGGTAGTACAGGTAGTCCTACTTCACCAGGATGACACATCTATATGTTCCATTGCCAGAAGGTTTGATGCATCACCCAGCACAGTCTCAAGAGTGGGGAGTACATTTTTGGAGGAGAGCAGTAACTCTCAAAGAGCTAAACAGGGCTGTTGAAGATCATTCACCCATCAGCAGGAGTCAGGACCTGTATCTGTGGAAGGAGGAACAAGACGAGTACAGCCAGGTTTTTCAGTTTAAAGTTTTTGGTAACTTTTAATTACCAACTGTCTAGGTTGCTATTGTGCATTTTTTTCTTTCCTTCTAAGTACGATCTTATGTGTTGTCATGTAATTTTTATTATCTGTCAACTAAAGTGGCACAGTAGGTCTTTAAATTAATTTCTGTGGAAATAAATTGGAAACTCGACTACTTTCTTCTACAATCTGCTCTTTAACTGTATTATTTTCTGCTATTTCAGCTGTTAACTTTATTTTTTCTCTCCCCAGAAGAAGCTACAATGATGTTCTGCTGAACTGTGGTAGCCTCATGTGGTAGCCATCGGCCTGAAAACTGCTGCTAACCATTTTTCCCTCTCCTGATAATAAATTTTTACTTGCTTTGACATTGGATGTGCTACTACTAGTTTACCCATTTAATTATAGATTCACTAGGATAAATACAATGAAGTTAATCTCTCACCAAATAGAATATTTACTAAGAAATCACAATGTGACCATAGAAACACTACTTCGTATATATGTTGTGTGTGTGTGTGTGCCTGCTCTGTCTTCTCCATCCCCAGTGAGTCGTGGAGGATGGCTGCTTATACTGAGCCAGGATTCTCTGAAGGTTTCTTCCTGTTAAAAGGGAGTTTTCCTCTCCACTGTTGCTATATGCTTGCTTAGTATGAGGATTGCTGTATAGTCACTGACACTAATCAGTGACTTGATGCAGTTTGCTGGGTTCCTTATATAGGAAACATTTTTTCTGATTGGCTTAATGAACTGACCTGAATTGGAATGTTTAAGTGAAGTGCCTTGAGATGACTCTTGTCGTGATTTGGCGCTATATAAATAAACGAATTGAATTGAATTTCTGAAATACGACATGATTTGAGAAACTCTGCTTCTTCACATGGTTTTATTTATACTTTTTACATCAATTTAAACTTTATGCAGCACTCATGTCTCCCTAAACCTCAGTTTAAGAAAAAGTTTTCACATGAAGTGCTATTTTTGTATATATTAGTGTGTTTCTTTTTGTAAAAATGACCACACTTTCAATGAGTTTTAATCAATTGGTCTGCTCAGAGGACTAGTTTTTGTCATGTGTTTGCATTCATGACCTTGTCATGAGCGGGTGTTCCACCAAGGCAAATTATTGTCTCACTGCAAAAAATTGATATTTTCACTGATATTTTATAGTGTAAATGCACTGTTCAAAATGTAGTTTGTGTTGTTGCGCCCTCTCCTGGTTGAAAATAAAATGATCAGACGACAAAATGAAAAACTAAAAGCCACATTCAAGAGAACAAACAATGACTTTGAAAGTACTGATCAGAGATTATCTTTGGGTTGATTTTGCAAAAAGATTTGTCAAATCAATTTCTGAGTTACAGATAGTCATCGACTGTCACCAAGGTAAAATTATACTGAAAAGTAGTTTACTCATTACTGAGAGGTCTGTTATGTGAAAAATGTATTAGAATGTGTGTTTGGTGGGGGTGGGGACCCACTTGTCAGGGACTTGCCCAAACCAGCCAGAGACACACTACTCATGAGACTCAAAAACCTCCATTTTATTTTGGAGCAGCTTCACAGGTAACAGAAACTTTAACCCAATCACAGCACAAGACCATCTCCAGAAAACAAAAGACATTTCAGACCACCAGGTTCAACTTAAATAGTGGCTGATCAGACCACTCTACATACAAGAGGGGAACAATTAACATACAATTAACACACACATCCTCACACACACACACAAACTAACCAGTCTAATCAATTCAGGTAACTCAAATAACTAAATCATAATTACAAACTTCCTATCCATAACAGAAAACATCTACATTAAATTTGACACAAGTATAAACATGAATCTCCCCTCCCTTGGGAGTTGGTAGATCCCAGGAGTGCCGATTAGGCTTCCTGAGGAGATGAGCTGCAGGTGTGAGACTCCATGGGAAACTCCAAGTCACTGGTAACTCAAAACAGAAACACAAAATTAACACATACATTCATAAACAGAAGACTGATTGTGTGCACATCAACCAGTCATCCTGGACAGAACACAGAAAACACCACCAGCAGACCATGTCCATGAGGTGACAGACACTGCTGTCACACCACCATTGAGGCTTATGTCAACATTTTTAAGGTCTTTACTTGTTGCTGGTATTTAAATAAACATTTTTACTATGTTGTGCATGTGTATAACAGCTATTGTTGACCAATTTTTATTTATTCAGGGAAGGTAGGCAGCTCAGATAATTACAGGCCCATTGCTCTTGCAAGCATACTCTCTAGGGTTTTTGAAGAAATACCACTGACAAGATTGGACAAATTGATACTGTGTACTGACAATCAATTTGGATTTAAGCCTAAACATCGCACTGATATGCTTTAAAGTAACTATCAAGTAGCTTCAAATACAAAAACTCAACTGTTTTATGTGTTTTTAGATGCCTCCAAGGTCTTTGAAGAAAGAAGAAGAAAATATCATTTCTACAGCGCCTCTCAAGATAAAAATCACGAGGCGCTTGTCATGGTTCTGCCTTCTCTCTGCCTCTGCTGATATTTTCCCTTCATTGTTTGCAGGTGAGCGTGCTGGGGAGCAGCAGCTGCAGCTGCAGCTAATTACCATCAGCCTGGCCAGAGGATTTAAGGAGCGGTGCTGCCACACCTCAACGCCGGTTGATACTCTACTGTTGGGTACATCTAGCCACGTCCTTATCTGTGCCTTGACTTTAAGACTCGTTTACCTGAACTAACCCAGCTCTGCATTCTTGTCTGTACCAGCCGTGGATTCCCTCCACCTGCCTGAGGTGTGATTTAACACAGTTCAGCTTCCCTGGCCTCCTGCTCTCCACCGCTCACCTGCCTTCCTGGATCCAACATCTCCTCCAGTGACCATCTCCTCCCTGCATCAACCTGACTTGCCTCTCCCTCCTGCCCCTTGTCCTGCTCAATTCAGTAAGCCCGTTCCTCATGATTATTCATCTCCTGGTTCTGTTTCTAATCACTCTCACCGTTCTCAGTCGGAGTTGCCTCGTTTCCTGTCCCGTTTGGATCAGCACCCTCAGTTTTCGCTTTGTTTTCTGTGGAGGTTCCTCCAGCCATTTCTCAGTGTTAGTATTATTTAAATATATTTTTCCACACGCTGGTTTATTATTTCATTTTGGCAATATTGTAAGATGTTTACTAATGGGTGCACACATTTAGTAATTTATCTTACACATAGTTTTTTTTTTATCATTAACTATTTTCATTTGTATTCTGAGATTGGATGAACTGGCAGAGAGAGGGGACACGCTCAGTGTAACTCCATGCAGGAAGTGGAACATTCCATCTGGCTCCTGGAAGCAGGGAGCTTGATAATGAAGAAACCAGAAACCAGACGTTCTGAAGCTCTATTGAGTTTACCAGATTTTGTTAGGATGTATTAGTTAAACTTTTTTTTGTGGTAGTTATACTTTGTTGACTTGGTTTCCTAGGTTTATTTACTGTTTGTCTTACTGTTTCCCCTGTCTCTCCCCTCCTCGTTGTCTGTAGGCTAGCCTGTGTGTATAAATTCCCCTGTGTGTCTCAGTTTGAGTCTTGCTTGTTACTTTTAATTAAGGTTATTTTTGTGGCCATTTTTTCCTTTGGGCCCTTTTTTTTTATTCTTTATAAAATAAATGGAGAAGATATTCTTTTTAAACCATTGTCCTGGAGTTTTACTGCTCGGTCCCTGACAGTTGGTGGCAGAGGTGGGATCTTCCAGTTAAAGGACATTGGTAAATAGATTCTTCCAATTTTTTTTTCTTTTATCCTGACAAATCTACAATGAAGGGAACCAAATCTGGTAAAATCAAGTCAGCCCCTTTAGAGAGAGAAGCACAGACAGAGGATGGGAGTGAGGACTGTGGAGCTGCTGCTGAAGAGGAGGATCATGGCAGAGAGCCAACAATATCAGACCTGGCTGGCATCCTTCAAGCTCACATTGGACGACAGGAAG